GGTTCTGGGCGACTCTGTGTGCCTCCCTGGGGCGCTCTGGTCGCCGCGGTCGATTCCGCCCCGAAGTTTTGGTCAGCACGCGGCCAGGACCCAGAAGAGGATCCTGGCCGCCCAGAATGGAGCCGCAGCAGGTCGGGGCCGGACGATTTGCACCGCATCAGCATCGCCGCTGCATCGCCCGTTCTCCAGGCCCGGATCGTCGCCATCCCGACATCACCGATGCATCGACGGTGGATCGGCGATGCAGCGGGATCTTCCGACCTCACGTGCTCTGCGGCCCAATCTGGGTGGCCGAGACCGACCCCAGGAGTAAGGGCGGGAAGAATGACCGAGACTCTTTTTGACCTTTTTCCAGCCCGGAAGTACCTCCTGGACAGGTTGTCACATTTGTGTCGGGTTCGTCCATGACCTGGCCAGCGCACCCCATGTGTTTCGGATCCCAGCCGACCCCGGCGAACCAGTTGTTCGTGCTCACGTGTTGAACACTTATGTCTTCATTTTCCATTTTCCTTTGCCCATGCCAAGAAGCCCCCTGCTGGCCTCCAGGATGCCCTGCGCTTCCTGGGTTTCGACTCTGTTTTGCTATGGACAGCGTGACGTTCCCACATGAACATCAGTGGACGGCGTGGGGGTCTCTGGGTTGGGTTTCTTGTGGAAGCCGTATCGTGGCCGAGCTCTTCCGCCCCAGCCGCCGTGGAGCCTCGGCCCCCCGGTGCGCCCCCCCTCGGGCCGCGGGGAGGAGCCCAGACCCCCGGCGCCGCGAGCCTGCCACGACGAGCCCCGGAGGACCAGGCTCCTTCCTGGCGACAGGCTGCCCTCCTCCGCCTCCTCCTCCTCCGCCTCCTCCTCCTCCGCCTCCGCCTCCTCCGCCTCCGCCTCCTCCTCCTCCTCCTCCTCCGCCTCCTCCGCCTCCTCCGGCTCCTTCTCGAAAGGCTGGAGGCAAGACCCACCGGCAGTGGCCACAGGGACGGCAGTGCAGGCCTGCGTCAGCGCCCGCTGGTTGGGCCAAGCCTCCCACGCCGCAGTCAAGGCCTGCTTGCTGGGGAGCGGCCGCCTCGGCAGCTGCTTGAGGCCCTGGTCTGCAGCCAGGGGCCCGATCGCGGCGCTCGTCCTGGTGCTGGAGCGCACGGGGTGGCGCCTGACGGCGAACGGGGACAGTCTCACTGATGAGGTCGGCTGCGAGTTCGAGGTCTCGTGGTTATCCCGCGCTTTCCTGGACAAGAGAGCTCGCCAGGCTACCGGGAAGGCGGCGTCGCTGGAGCAAATTCGCGAGCGCCTTGGGCCCCTCTGGCCGTGGCGGCCCCCGCCGGCTTGGCGGCCGATCAACGAGCTTGTCCTGCAGGCAAAGACGGAGGTCTAAACGAAGCACCACTGCGGCTGCCTCCGCCGGTTGGCCACGCTCTCGCAATGGCCCCAGGCGAGGCTGGCCAAGCACAAAGCCGACATCAACCCGAAGTGCCTGCTGTGCGGGGAAGCGGACTGGATGCTCTTCCACGGGCGCTACCGCTGCCCTGCGTGGGGGCCCTGGCGGCGTGACAGGCCGCTCTATGCTCTGCGGCGGGCTGCCGAGACGGTCCGCGGGCAGGGCCAGCCCTTCCTCGAGCACTTTGGGGTGGGGCTCTTCGTGGACCTGGCGCCCTCGCTGCACCTCCTCCTCCTCCTCCTCCTCCTCCTCCTCCTCCTCCTCCTCCTGCGGCCGCGGTGGCAGCCCTGCGGGGGCGGTGCGCCCGAGGCTGGGATGGTGCGCTGTCGGTTCCCGAGGACACCCTCGTCTTCACCGACGGCTCGCGCATCCACGCCGACTTCCCGCGGCCGAGGTGCGCAGGGTGGGCGGTGATCGCCCCGTCGCCTTCGGGCGAGCTCATTGCCGAGGCCTGGGGCGCTGTTCCCCCAGATCTGCAGCCCTCCCAGACGGCGCGGGCCGGGGAAGATTACGCGGCGGCAGTTGCCCTCGAGGGGATCACCGGGAATTGCAATCTGTTTATCGACTGCATGGGCACCCTGAGGTCCCTGCGGAACCCCTCGAAAGCCCAGGGCCCTCCCTGCGGGAGGTTCGGCTGTCAATGCGCACCTCTGGGCCAGGGTGGCTGATGCAGCTGAAGGTGCCGCAGTCAAGCGCAACCCCGCGCCAGGCGCGGCGAGCTCAACGCGCTGGAGCTGCGCGGCAACAGGCTGGCTGGCGTGCGGGTCAAGGAGGGGGCCGAGCTGCAGGCGCAGAAGACGACCGATTGCTCATGCTGGAGGGGTGCCTCGCAAGAGCCAGGGGCGCTGCCGGGTTCGCTGCGGCGACGGAGGTGCACATCAAGAATTCTGGCCTGCGAGATGCCCGGGCCTCTGAGGACATTGGCCTGAAGCCCGACCTGCAGCACGACCTTGTCGCTGAGGGGGTCCCCGGCTGCGGGTGAGCCAGGGGTCCTGGCTTCATCCCCAGGCGCAACGGCTGCGGCGGCTGCGGCGGCGGCGGGCGCGAGAGCGGGAGACGGTGCAGTGAGCGAGCCCTGTGGTGCAGGGCCCGAGCGGAGGACAGCCCCGCGCGCGTCTTGCGACTACCATGCCCGTGGCTGCTGTGCTGCAGCCTGGACGGGGGGCTCCTCCCAGCTCGCCCTCCTCCTCCTCGGCTGCGACGGGCCCCCTCCCCCGCGGGGCCGAGGCTTTTGACGGGCCCTGGTCGGTCCAAGGCCATCGTCTCATGCAGGCGCAGGTGCCGCGCGTGCCGATGGCAGCCTCGACACGCTTTCCGCGGGCTGGTCAAGCCCTGCTCTGGAGCCGAGATTCGCTCCAAGACGGGTTCGAGGGCCCTGGCCCACAATGACATCACGAAAGGAATCGTTCCTGGGGGCGGCAGACGGTAGCGCAGCGCGCCGGTGCCGCCCTCGGTCCAGGCTCGCGTGCGGCGGGCGAGCGCCCTCGGTGCCACGGCGGCCATTCAGTCCAGTCGGCTGGCGGCCGCCCCAGACGCCGAGGAGGCAGCAGGCCCGCCTCTCCCAGCCCGTCCCCGTCTCTCGGCGGCGGGACAGCAAGAGCAGGCCCTCATCTCACCAGCGGTGGGGGGAGTTTTGGTTTCGCACGGCTTCGCATCGCCCGAGGAGGCGACCGAGCGAGGCCGCACGGCGGTCCAGTCCAGGGCCGCGAGAGCGGCCGGAGCGGCGCAGGAGAGGTAGGGGCCGTGATTTGTCTTGCTTTGGCGGGGACGTGGCGACCCGCCAAATATGCCAGGGCCGCGAGTGTGCGCGTTGAAGGGCGGGGAGGTGGTGACCCGCCGAGAGCGCAGCGGCCACCAGCGTGAATTCGTTTGATGCATGCAAGTTCCTGACGCGGAGAGATATCAGCATGCCCTCGTCATATGCACCGTGCTCCTTGGCCGACCAGAGGACTTGGTATATAGCGTGGGCCCGTAAGAGAGGCACCAAGAGGCGCCGAGAGAGCCTTCAGATATCCCAAACGCTTCGACTACAGGGGAGATGTCCAGCTTGTTGATTCCAATGGTTTCCGGCTGATGAGACGCGATTGCCGCGAATCGGGCCATCAGCGGCCCACGCGCCCGACGAAAACGCCAGCCATGGCCAAGAAGGCTCTCCACTTGCAAATAATGCCGAAGTCGTGGCCCAACATAAATACCCTGTTTAGTCTTGAAGTCAGCACCCTTTCTCCTCCCTTCCTCCTCTCCTCTCCTCCTACACATCCCTACCTCTTCTCCTCCTAGGGTCCGTTTCCAACCGATCATTCCGATTGGATATTGAGTCCTGCCAGCCCGACCGCATTCGAACCCGATATTCCGACTATACGATGCGACCCGATGTTTGCATGGCGTTGTTGTGCATCCTGGCGCAACCGATCCGATTCGAGCTCGACTTTGCCGATGTATCCCGACCTGGCGCACATTTTGGGTCGATCCGACTTCCCATCTCGTTGTTGGCTGGGCCTGCTTTTTCTTCTCCCTGCGCCCCACCTCTCACCGAGGTCCCCCCGCGGCGCGCGACGACAGCCGAACCTGGCGCGCACTTGCGCTTGCTAGACAGCTGCCCTTGCCCACGGTGGCGGCGGAGGTGAGCGCGCCGCGCAGCGCTGAGAGCGACGCGCAAAGTTTTCCTGACCTGCCCTGCGCATCCCGCCCCCGGCCTCCCTGTCGTCCCCACTTCTCCACCCCCCCTTCCTCTGGCGCACACCGGCAGGACGACGGCGTCAGGGACGAGTGGAGGGCGACCTCCACTGATGCCGCGGGGGCTTCTCAAGCCGTCTCGGACCTCCCTCCTCCCTCCTCGACGCGGGCGCCGCCGGCTGTACCGACAGCGACTGCGGACGCCGCAGCAGCGCTGGCGGCGGAAGAGGCGGCCGGCGTGGCGGAGGTGCGAGCCTTGCTGCTGCGGCTGGGGCTCGAGCTGTACCTGCCGAAGTTCGTCGCCCTGGGCTACGACATGCTGGCGGCGGTGGAGGCCATGGAGGAGAGCGACATGCTGGAGGACTGCGGCATGAGCGCCGAGCACGCGAGAGTGCTGCAGGGGGAGCTCGCGAGGCGAGCACAGCCCGGGCCGGAGGCGCCGCACGTGAGCAGCTCCTCCACCGCGCCCGCGCCCTTCCTGGGCGCCGCGCCCGGGGTGCCGGCGCCGCTGCTGCCGCTGCTGCAGGGCGCCCCCCCCGCCCCCGCCCTGGGGGCCGCGGCGGCGGGGGGCCTGCTGGGAGCCTTCCTCCCTCCGGGCGCCCTCCTGTCGACTCGACGCAAGAGTGAACTTCCGTCGGAGTGACCTCTGGTGCGGGACCAATGGGAGTGACCCCGATCGCTGCACGCGCAGCGGCAGCAGCGGCTTTCTGGCGCGCCCAGGACGTCGCGTCGCCCGTTGAGTCGCGCACCACAGGCCACCCTTGCCCAGGGTCACTCTTGCGTGTAGCCGATCCTGGCCGGCGGGGCCCCGGGCGCGGCTGCCGGCGCCGTGGTGCCGCCCGTGGTCGGCGGGCCGCCGACCGGCGCCCCAGCGGCGCAGCAGCTTTACGCCCTGGCCCAGATGGCGGTCGGGAACGTCGTCGCGTCGTGGTCGATAGTCACTCTATAGGCCTCCCAGCAGGGGTCGGAGTAGATGGGATCGGGGGGTCGCGCCGCATCGGCGATGTATCGCCGATGCGTCTCGATGCGGACTCCGATTTCGTCCACGCCGATGTCGCCCATTCATCGCCGATGGCGATGTATCGCCGATGCATCGCCGATGCGGCGCGATCCTCCGACCACATCTACTCGGATCCCATCTAGGAGGCCTCTAGTCACTGCGGACGGTGTTGGTCCGTTTGCGGCCTCATTTCGCTGGATCCCATTTGGATCGACTCGGGGGTTGCTAAGAGGATAGTGGGTGTTAAAAGTGGATGCTGAGGTGGATTGAATTTGGCCCACCTTAGCTTTGCAGTGGGCTGCAGGTGCCTTCTGCTGCGCAGGGTGGTCAGATAGCTCCGCCAAGTGGGCTCCGCCCGCCAAGCCCAGACTTGTACGCCCTTGAGCCGCACAGGGCATGTTCATCCCAGGCCATGCATAACCTACCTTTTAGTATCCCCTTGCAAACCCCATATCGTCTTAGGATCCCCCGCCGCGATCCAAGCAGGGCCGTCAAGAAACGACTCAGGATGACAGGGTGGTCCCCGGGAAGGGCTCCTCACACCTGGGGGGCCACGTGGTGATTGAAACCACGAAGTTGGATATCTGGGACCCCCCTCTCTCACCCCCGCAGCGGCCAGCAAGCCGGTCCCTCCCGTGGCCTCCCCTTTGCATCGCTCCAAGACTTGGGAACGACGGCCAGAGGTCAGCAGACGAAGAACGGTTTAACATAAGTTTCCCTGGCGCGCTTGCCCCAGGGCGGCTGGAAGATGTGCATATCGACCTACCAACTTTAGTGGTGTTGACTTTCCCGCCGCCCTTGGGCAGGCGTCCCTGACGGCGGACACGTTTATTGTATACCGTCCTTGGCCCGCTGAAGAGGACAAGAGCTCTACGACCGATTGCGCACCCTACCCCTGCGGGTCCAATCGACGCCAGGGTGTCGGACATCCCTGCTGGGGCTCCCTTGGCTGCAGACTTCCTTCGAATCCTGAATCCCGGGCCGCGGTCCAGGAATCTGACCTGCAGGGGTGCACGCTGGTCGTTGAAAGTAGGTATCTCGGGAATCCCCTATCTCAATCTACTTCAAGCGCCGTCCTACTTCAGTAATCGATGTGTTTTTTGCTGTGTTGTGTTGCTCTCTGGGAGGGCCTGGACCCACTCCATTTGATCCGCTCTCCTTCTTCATTCAAGCTGTGGCGAAGCGTCCTGGCGTGCCTATAGTCCTACCGAACAATGTTCTAAGAACCTTCTGTGGTTCCCACGAAAGGTTCTTGGAACATTTCTGGTCGGGACTGTCCTGTCTCATCACGTCGGGCTTATGTTCGAAGAACAGTTGTTTCAGTTCTCAGAACCTTTTTGGGTGATGAGAACATTTCGTGGAAGGGCTATAGGAATGCCAGGACGGTCGGCCCCTGCTCAATTCACACTCCAGCCTACCTGCTCCGACCGGCGTGTGGTGCCCGCGGGCTGCTCCCCGAGACGCGGGCCCCGATGGCGAGGGGCACGGCCGTCTTCGGAACGGGGGCCCGCCGCGGAGGGGATCGGCCCGGCCGCGCCCGGCCGAGGCGGAGGAGGCGGCGCAGATGAACGCGGCTGCCGCCGCCTTCTGCGCCAGCCCGCTCGCCGAGCCCTTCCAGGCCCGGGGGGGGAGCGCAGCGGCGTGAGCGCAACCTCAGGGGAGGAACAGGTGCCCATACCCCCCCCCTCCACCCGTGTTCTCCCTGTTCGCTCTCCTGGGAGGTTCTCGTCGCCACCACTGGATTCGCCTCGCAGTTCTGGTCAGGACGCACCTGGGGAGGTCTGGGGAGTAGCGGTATCGGTAACCCTGTCGGTCTCCCCATGACCGCTCGCCGTGGGCAGGATCTGTAGGCATGGTGGCCGCCCCTGCGGCCCACTGAAGAACCAAGCTGGGCGACGAAACAGCAGGGTCCAACCGCGCCGACACTGGCGCGCAAGCTGCCCTCGTTGAGCTCCCGCGCGAGCGCCCTCGCCTCCACGGTTGGCGTGCCGCGCCGGCGGCCTGCGCACAGACCCGCGCAGGCTTATCTCGCGCAGGACCCGTGCCTGCGCGTCGCCCGACGGGCGATGCCGTGGTCGGCGCTCTGTGTGAGCGCGCTGGTCGCCTGCCAGGCGGGGGGGCCCCTCGAGCTCCCCGCTGCCGCCGCAGGGAGCAACGACGCGCATCTCCAGAGCTCCTGCGTCCTTTCCTTGCTGTGGACGGGGCGCCAAGAGCTCCGAGACGCAGTGGATCTGGTTCAAGACCTGGCTTCGCCGGAATCCAGGTTTGATCGATGTCCACTGCGCCTCCGTCCCGGGTGTCTATGGAAGGGATCCCGAGACCGAGGAGCCGAGACGCAGTGGGTAGGTGCGACACTCCATGTATAAACGTGTACACATTTGTGGAGGTGTATAGATTTGTGCGCATACATAATATGTATACATATATATATATGTATGTATATATGGTATGCATATATAACTATATGTAAGTGTTAGTTTATACACGTACATACACAATAATATCATAATAATAATAAGAACAGTAAAATTACACGAGTATGTGCAATCTTTTTTGTATACGGATGTGTATGCATATAATGAAAATGCACGTGCATGTCCAGTACTCGGAGGCCCGCGCGGGCTTCCTGGATCTGCGCTGCACCCCACTCTCTGTGGCGGCGCCTCCTGCACCGTTCCTGCCGCGCTCCGCGCGGCGACATGGGACGGGGTTCCTTTTCGACCTGGAACATAGTCATGGCCATCCTTGTGATTGGCATCATCTCGGCTCGGTGTCGACCTTGAGGACACTTTCGGTTTTCTGGGGAGGCATCCCCACGATCGACAATCGTCTCGGGCTGGCAAATCGTGGGGAGCGGGGTATGTCAGTTGGAGGCTGGCCATTCCAGCGTCGATCTGAGATATCCGCACTAACCTCTGAAAGTTGATGTTCGTGCGTTTCTGATGTTTGCCCACCAGGCAGGTTGGGGTTCTCAAATGTACTGGGCGTGAATTCATGGGGGGGCGACAAATTGGGGGGCAACGAGGGCTGCAGAACACCTTTTAGAGCCCCTAAGGTCCTTCAGGGCCGAAATGGGCATCTCCCCCCCATATATCGGCGCCCCTTTCATTCACGCCCGAACTGAAAGAAAAGAGCTCTCGACCTGCCTGGCCCATCCTGCATACCGCGGCCGCCAGGCCCAAAGTGTGCGGCTGCTCCCCGGGGATCCCGCCTCACGTCTTCGACGAGTGACGACTGCATGGCCGCAGCTGCTGGACCAAAGGCGGGCCGGTGCTCATGTGAGACCCCTTCAGGCACAAATGATCATCGATTCCCGTGCAAATCTCGGAAACTATGGGGAATGGGGGGAAGACGGAACTCGAGACGCTATGGGAACATATGGGGGGGGTCCCGGGATTTGTGTCTACTCGTTTGCGTGTCTCTGGGCCCTATTCATTCTCGTGAGGTCGCGGCGGTCGCCGAGGCCTCGATGCAGGCCGCGCAGCGGGCGTCCTGGGCGGCACAGTCGGTGGAGAGCTTCGGGCTCGAGCACGGGGAGAGGCTGGCCAGCGAGGGCGGCGACGTCGGCTGGCTGGCCACGCTGCGGCAGGTGACGAGGCAGGCCTCGGAGGCGGCGGAGCAGTCCGCCCAGAACTGCAAGAGCCTCGCCGCAGGGGTGCCTGCGGTCCCCCTGCTGCTCCTGCCCCTCCTCCTCCTCGTCCTCCTCCTTCTCGTCCTCCTCTCCTCCTCCTCCTCCTCCTCCTCCTCCTCCTCCTCCTCCTCCTCCTCCTCCTCCTCCTCCTCCTCCTCCTCCTCCTCCTCCTCCTCCGTTGCCATTTTGGCTCAAGTTGCAGGGCAGTCCGCGATCTGAGTGGGCAGCTCCCTTGGGGCCACCCCAGGTGTCGTGCCTGGGCGGGCACTTCCAGTTTTGTTCTCTCCTCCTGCACTGCCGCCACGTCCACTGTTGATTAAACTAGACGCTGGCAGCTGTCGAGACGTCCTTGTCGTCGTACGACTCGCTTCGCGCCAGCATCACAGCCCACGACAACAACATGAACGTGTTCACCAGAGGCTCAACACGCTCGAAAACGCCATCACTGCCCCTGTGGACACCGCCGCTATGGCCGCCCTGCGCTCACAGATGGAGGCTCGCATGGTCGCAATCGAGACCACGCAGTCTTCGATTTTTCAGCTCAGGCTCTTCGCGCAGACGCACAGGAGCTCCGCCTTCCTCGATCGGCAGCAGCGCCAGCCACAACAACGAGGACGACGTCAACCCGGTGAAGCTCTAGGTCGGCGGTTTCACTGGGCTCATGCTGAAGGCGTCCCTGGAGGCGCACGGCAAAGCACTCATCCAGAACTTGCCGACTCGCATTAGGCAGGCGGGCATCGAGATCAAGGGCCACAACCTGGCGAAGAGCTACTCGATCCAGTTCGCCAGCAACGTGGACGCCGCCTCGAACATTGACTACGCTCGCGCCCACAGTATCTTATGGAATGAATCGCTTTCCCACGCGCAGGTCTAGTCACGTTGCCGCCGCGATGCGCCGACGTCGGTGCGCCACAAGAGCAGGCTCCTTGAGAATCTTTGACAGCAGGTCAATGCTCACTTGCGTCAGGCAGGCCAGTGGAGCGACAACGCGCACAAGCTCGGCGAGCGCGGGTTCAGGGGCATCCTCTTCTGCGCCGTCAGCGATGTGTTCCACGAGATCTTCTCCGCGGCGGAACAGGGCGCCGGTCAGTACGAGGTCTCGCCCAACACCACGGGCATAGCCAACTTCATGACTACCGTGGAGCAGGCCGCCACCATGATTGCTGCTGCTCGCTCGTCGTGAGGATGCGCCACGCCGACCAGGACTGACCGAGCTGCAGCAGCTCGAATGAGAACTCCGTACGCAAGCGCTCATCACTCTGTGAGGATTGAGAGTCCTAGCTTTTCCCTTTCCTCTTTGTCTGGCCCGTCTCGGTCTTCCTCGGGGTCGACCTCGTCGAGTGGGTCCTGTTTGCGATCTTTCTTCGGTCCGCCAAGCTTTCCTTCTTGTCCTGGGGTGTGGACACACTCGCCGTTTATCTGGAAGTCGCATTTGAGCATCGTTTCCTGGAATGCCCGCCCTGGACATCGTAGAAAGCAAGATGCCTCGCCTATTATCGTACATCCAGAAAGTCCGAGTGGTTTGCGTCCAAGAAGCGGGAGACACCAAGTATGACCTCCAGAGGCTGCGTGCTGGGATCCACGATATTTGGGGTATTGGGTCTTTCTTTGATTACAGATCCGCGTGTGGAGCTATCATTTGCCTCCATCCGTCTTCGAGGGGCCAGTTCCAATGCTGTCGCTACTCCGTCTTCGTCGAGGGCAGAATCCAGTCTTGAACGCTGGGGGGCGGCCGAGGGACTATGCAGCTCATCAACATGCATCTCGATCCTTGCCAACGTTCCCTTTTACCACCCTCGGCTGCCGCTGGCTTCATTATGGACGATTTCCGCTTTCCTGCTGCAGGTTGCGGCAGCTATTGCGTAGGTGGTGCGGCCCACTATTCCAGTAACGATGCTGCCGCCTTCGGTGGGCAGCGGTTCGCCGATCTGCGCGAGGTCGAGCAGCTGGCGTTGACGCGCACGATTGCGAGGAGGGAGGAGGGAGTTGAAGTCGTTCGAAGTTTATGTCGTATCGATCGCATATATACTAACATGTTCAGCGCCACCATTTTGGAGTACCACCCCAAGGCCCTTGCGTTGGAGCGCATGTCGGAGGTCGGGAATCTCTCCGACCGCGCCCCCACGCGTTTGACATTGAGCCCCGGGGCCAACTGTGGATTTAGAATTCCCAACTGGGTCACCGAGCGCCCGCGGTTTCCTGTCGCCGCCGACGATCTAATCAAGATTGTCGGGCCTCTGTCGGACGAACCATTCGAGAGACGCGGTCAGGTCAAATACAGTTTGTTTCAGGCTTGCAAGGGCGCGCCGCGCTTCAGCGCCGAGCAGGCCAACGAGACCTTGGCCGAGAAATTAGCATGGTCTCTTTCTGCGCTTCGTGGCACTCTTCGTTCGCGGGCAGCTATGGCTTGCACAGATGGCCGCGCAGTCCTATCCCGTTCTGCGCCGCTTTTGCGACCCCGAGTCTGCCGCGCGGGTCGACCTCCGCAGCTTCCATTTCCGCCGCAACGACATATATATATATATATATGTAAATATACATATAACAGACAAGCAACGAGGTTATCCAACGGCAAATCGCAACGGTGGATCAGGCGGGAGTCTCGGGCACCAGAAAACGGGAGACCATTCAAACTACAAACAGCGTGGGACGGAAGCGTCGGCTCATCTCTGTGTCTGGCGTCTCGGATCCGACTGGCAAGGCCATCGCCGATGCAGATTGCGTCGCCGCCGAGCTCGCCGGCTACTGGGGCAAGGTGCGGTTTCGGGAAGATTGCTCTGACGAAGGTCGCCAGCTGCTCCGGGATTCTGTTCAGCCCTGCCTCCCTGGGACAGAGTGGAAACTCGAGCCCATGGAATTCCAGCACTTCGTTTCCAAAGTTTCCGACCCTCCTCCTGGCCCCGACGGTGCCCCATGCAGCTCTTGTGCCAGAGGGGGGCAAGCAGTGGTCGAGTCTCTACATGGGCTTTATTTCGAGTTGTTCGTGAATTGAAACGCCCCCGTCGGTTATAACCGCGGCATGGCCGTTTCTTTCGCCAAGGGTAGCGACCCAGACGGCATTCCTAAGCAGACCATCAGAAATCCCGGAAGCAGGCGCCCGATCACTTTTGGGAGCTAAGATAGCAAGCTCGTCTCGGTTGCCTTGAACGAAGCCTTTCCTCGGGTCGCTACCCAAACCGTCGTGGGTTAGAAAGCTCGAGAACGTCGCATCCACATCTGGAATACGTGTCGCCTCCATGCCTCCGTCATCTCCTCTTCCAGAGAAGTGTGTGTCCACTTCTGCAAGTGTCGTTGATCTGCTGTGATGGTATTGTAGCATCGTTTCTTCACACCAGTGGACCGTCCTGAGAGAAGTCGAGCGAGTTTGTGTACTTCGGCCTGTTGTCCTGCAGCTCGGGCTTCTCGAAATTCTTGGTGTAGCTGTTCGCGTCGTATTGCCCGACGTCGTCGAGCCCATCTGTGGAGTTGATGCGGTAGACGGCGTACGTGTTGCAAGCATTCTAAATGAGTGTCGTCATAGCTGTGAGGACGCACACATATCGCGCAAAAATCAGCGGCCTCGAGTCGACTTGCACGTCGGTCACGAACGAGCCGAAGGCGTTCCTGTTGGAGTCTTTTCTCTAGTCCACCGTTCTATCTGGCATGGCAGAATGTCGCAGCCCAATCCTCCGCACAATCTCAGCCCGTCGGTCATAGAAGAAATGGTCAGTGTTTTGATTTTTTTCTCGGCGCATACAGCAAAGGAGGCGACTTGGGCCAGCATCTCACGCTCAAGCTCCTGATGGTGGCGCCGGCCTGGAGCGCGGCAGATAATTTGTTGTAGTCCCACCGGTGCCGAGGGGTTTTCGGCAGCAGCACGGGGGGCTCGTGTTTCGTTTCCGGTGTGACAGGTACGTGGTCTCGCGGGGTGCTGCGAGGAAGCAACTGCAGGGCCCGGCCTGCCCTCCAGGAAGCTCGGCAGTGTTTCGCTCCAGGGCCCAATGCCGGCTGGGATAGCAAGGATAGCCGGAGTAGGTTTGTCTCCCTGAGCGCAGCAGGAGGGGGGATGATGAGGAGGAGGTGTAGTGGAAGGGGGGAGGGCAAAGGCGAGAAGAACAAGGACGTGGATGCGGAGGAGTTCGACGATGACGATGACGATGACGATGACGATGACGAAAGGCTCGACGACGACGCCGAAGGCACAGGCGGATCAGAAGCAGGCGGACGCGCGAATACTCATAGGAGCCACCTCGGCTCAAGCACGCTGTTTGGGGATACTGGGCTCTGGCTATACTTTCTTTCGCTCTGTCTCTGTCTGTCGGTCTATCTGTCTCTCTGTCTTTCTCTCTCTCTCTCTATCTCCTCTCTTTCCTTCTCTCTCTCCCTCCCTATCACTCTATGTATATCTCTCTCTCTCTCTCTCTCTTCTATCTCTCTCTCTCTCTCGTGTTGTTTCTCTGTGGATGTCTCATTGTCTCTTCACACATGCGTTTGTGGATTGACGGATGTATCGCAACTTTTATATCGGAGGTTGGGGGGTGAGATCGAAGTGGAACGGAGAGCCCCCCCTCCGGGAAATCGGTTTCGGTTTCGTGTTCGTGCGTGCCGTGCGTGCGGGCGAGGCGAAGTTGCGTGGGCCGGCGAGAGGAAAGTCTCCTGTGGCGCAGGCGCGGCCGTACCAAATGATTCTCCCTCCGGCGGCCGTTGGCCCGCGGTGTCCCGCCGGTGTCCCGCTTGTGGTTGGGTCCCGGCCGGACCAAATGATTCCTCTGGCAAGCGGTGGCCCGCGGTGTCCCGCCGGTGTCCCGCCGGCGTCCCGGTGTCCCGCTGGTGCGAAAACGGTAGTGAGACCGATGACGAAATCCATTGTGACATCGATAGTGAGATTGATAGTGAGACCGATAGTGAGATCGATCGTGAGATCGATAGTGAGATCGATAGTGAGATGAATCGTGAGATCGATTGTGAGATCGAGTGACTTCGATAGGGAGATCGATAGTGGGATCGATAGCGAGATCCAGAGTGAGATCGACAGTGAAATCGATCGAGTGAGATCGATAGTGAGATCGATCAAGTGAGATCTTTAGTGGGATCGATGGTCCCAAGAGCGAGCGGCAACGCAACAATAACGACTGTTGCCCATTGCTGGCCCCCCTCCCCCCCAACCTCCTTATCACCCGCAGGGTGGTCGTATAAATATAACTATACGACCACCCTGCGGGTGAGAAGGAGGTTGGGGGGGGGCGGCAATGGGCAAAAGTGGTGATTGGCAGTAATTCCCTCGGAAGTAACTATAGGAAGTCTTTATAGGAGGGGATGGGCATAGCGGGGGATGCAGCAACCCCCACTCGCCTTTTGATCGCCGATGGGGGCCCGATAGCCCCAACCCGCCCATGCATGTTTGGTTTTGCTATCGGGGGCCTATCGCCGATCTATCGACGATGTATCGCCGATTCCAGGTCGATGCTTCCCCCCCTATGCCAGTCCCCCCTATCGTTGCCACTCCTTCCCGGTACCATGGTGTCCACCATGACGTCCCTGACCAGACCGTCGGTACCCAGTCCAATGGAGTCCAGCAGTACCACGGTACCCACCACGACGTCTCCATGAGCGAGCCATGCGCCTCCTACACATGCTGCGTCGCGCCCAGCGACTGTCGGGGTCTCTCCCTCGCACGGTCCCACCGCGCCCAGTCCGCTTGGGACGCCACCCACTCGGCGTCTCCAACGCCTCTGTCCCCAGGAGCTCCCCTCCATGAGGTCATCCAGGCGAGATCCGACGATCACCGCCAGCGCCACAGCCGCCAGTTTCCTTTCACCTACGTCCCGTGAGAACGCCTGGCAATACGTTCCGCGGATCAGCCCTTGTGTTGCTGTTCGGTGTGCCCCTCAGTAGCACCTTCTTCCAGGGTCTCAGAGGCGCAAGCCAACACGTGCTGTACCTGGACCCTCTCCCACCGTGTGCGTTCGAATCGGGAGTGCCACTCTTGAGTCACCATGCCCTGCTCCAGTTTCCAACCGTAGCCTCCCCGACGGCACCAGAGGGAGGGTGTTTTTGCAACCCCAGTGTCCACAAGCGGCCCCTCCCGCCGATAGGAGGCAAAGGGCAGTGGCGCGATCGCAGGGCCCGCCCGCGGACGCACCAGTCGTCCGAGTCGCTGCGCTCTCTCGCCGCCTCTTTTTCTATCTCCCCGTCTCTTCCCCCGGAACTTCGGGCAGAGCCCTCCTTCTCTCACCCCCCCTCACACAGTTTTGGTTCGCGGGCGCAAGAGCGGGCAGGCGTCGGTCGAGCCAACGGCGAGGCGCAACCGGAGTGAACTGGAGGCACGAGGGCGCGGGAGCTCCGGAAGGGCGAACAAGAGGGAGGCCAGTCAGAGCATGTACACATGGTTCATTCCTGGTTCTTCGAAAGGCCTTTGATTTTTTGGGCGGCCAGGATCCGTTCATTTCTGATTGTTCTATCCTGGGCCTCTTCCTGGCCACGGGGGGGCCAGGAGCAGCTGGAAACGAGCACAGTCAGAAACGGGCACGATCAGAATTGAACGACGTGTCGTTCTGCACGGGCGTGCGGGAGCCGTGCAGCCTCGTGGAGGCCACGCAGCGGAGGAGGCCGCGGGTGGAGGCCGATCTGCCTCTGCGCCGTCCGCTTCGGCGCGCGGCCCCGAGAGTCTCGGGGAGGGCGCCGCGGCCACCACGGCAGGCTCCGCCTCGGGCGCGGTGTGTTTGCCGTGGGGTTTGCCGCGGCGCTGGCTGCGGCTGCTTGGGCTCGCGTCGCAGGTTCTGCCGTGGGTCTGCCGTGGTGTCGGCGTGATCCACTTGGGCGCGTCGAGAACAAACGGCGCGGCGACACATCCCGCTCAAACAATACACCCCAGGAGGGGGGGGAGGGGGGAGGCAGGAGAAGCGGGAGAAGGGTCGTCTTACTCCGCACATCCCCTCACCTGCTTCTTCCGGGCCTACGCGCGCGCTCCGTGAATGCCAGACCCGCTCCTCCTCCTCCTCCTCCTCCTCCTCCTCCTCCTCCTCCTCCTCCTCCTCCTCCTCCTCCCCAGTTGTTCTCCCGTGGCCCCTGCGTCTTCTCCTGCTGCTCCTCTTGGTTGTCTTCTTGCGCGCTCCTGGGACGCTGGGCCCGCTCTGCGGCCTCCTCCTCCTCCTCGCCGTCCGCCGATCTCTTCCTTCTCCGCGCTGTGCTCCTCCTCCTCCTCCTCGCCCTCCTGCAGAGCCCGCTCGCCCTCTTGGAGACCGAACGTCGGCCCCCGCTCGAGGCGACGGTCGGGTGCTCGGGGGGGGGGAGGTGGCCGGGGGCCTCCGTGGGCCAATGACGGCCGCGCGGTCGGGGGGCGTGACACTGTCCACGCGGCCGATCCTGGCCGGCCCGATCCTGGGCGCATGGTCGGTGCATTGCCTGTGCCCCCCCCCCCCCAGCCCCCTCTCCTCCTCCTCCTTCTCCTCCTCCTCCTCCTCCTCCTCTTCCTCCTCCTGTTCAGCCCGGAAGGTGTAGAAGCACCGATCAGGGGACCAGGCGATGGGTCTGGACAGGATCGGTGCCCTGGACCGCCGAGGGGTCCCCCGAGTGCATGTGGCCTGGGAGAGGGAGGCCTGCGGGCCAAACCGCGGCACGGCCGCCCAGGTGCGGGAGCAGTGCCTGGACGCCCTCAAAGCGAGGACGCCCCCCCCCCCCGCCCCGCTCAGCTCGCGAAGGCTCCGCGGGGAGGGCCAGCTGTCCAGCACGTGGAGCTGCCGAAGGAGGCGAGGATATAACACCCTCCCTGCCCCCTGCCCGAGCCCCAAGTGGTACTCGCCGGGGAAAAACATTATACCCAAAAGCCCTGGGGTTGGGGGAGGGTCCTGTCCGTGGGCTTAGTATACAACGTGCTCTCCCTGGGGCGTGGTTTTGCATGCGTGGCCCTGGGCGGTGGAATCTGCTTGAGGCGGGAAGGATGCGGTATACAAAAAACGTCTCGAGGATGAGACTGGAGCTCTGAGCACGGCAGGCACGAAGGGGACCTTCGATTGCAGACTGTTAGTGAGGGGGCTGTGATGGAAGAGACCCCTCGATTGCATGTTGTGTGCATTTCCGGGATACGATCACTCCAGGGTTGCCCCCCCCCCCGGCCCGCTGCAGCAACGCCAGCCTCGCGATGTGATCCCCCCCCATAAATACACATGTTACTGAGCGGTCGGAGTTCTGAACTCGGGATCCGCTGCGATAGCCCAACTGTTCCGTGAAGACAACAATCATCCCCCCTTTTATCATTCGAGCTCTCCATCTCCTGTGTCTTCCCCCCCTCAGCCTTGTCCTCGTCTTCCCCGTCCTTCCCCTCCACCTGCACCCAGCTCCGCCTCTTCCTTTCAGTCTCCTCCAATCCGGGTCAGACCTCGTTGAGCCGCATTTGCCCTAAGGCTGGGTTGCCCTTTCGCCACCGAAAAGCCAGATCGTGTCTGAATTGGGCCGTTCGAGCATATTCCGGAATCCCAGCTGGACGGGCCTCAGAAGGTACCAGCTTCAATGAGATGGGGAAGAAGGAGCAGTATGATGATGAGGAGGAGGAGGAAGACGAGGAGCAGGATGATTATGATTCTGAGTCTGATTATGAGTGTGATAGTGATGATGTTGCTGCTGATGATGCTGATGATGATAATGATGACGATGCTGATGCTGATGCTGCTGATGATGATGTGACGATGATGATGATGACGATGATGATGATGATGATGATGATGATGCTGATGATGTTGATGATGCTGATGATGATGATGATGATGATGATGATGATGATGATGATGATGATGATGATGATGATGATGATGATGATGGTGGTGGTGGTGGTGGTGATGATGATGATGAGGAAAAGGAGGAGCGGGAGCGGGAGCAGGATAATGAGGATTCGTTTTGTGTCGGGGTCAGCCCCATCTCAGAGCACACCGCAGGCAGAAGGAATGGGGTTCATGTTCTCTTCATCCGTCGCAAACAACCCCAGAATATTCATAGAGCTCGTCCATGTCCCCAGTACACCTGCGGTGCTTGCGTTCGGTGCGCGGGTAATGGAGGTCAGCCCCAACGGGAGTCAGCCAATCCCTTCGGATCCCCTTTGATTGACCCGAGCTTGCGAGCCATGTGAAGCCGACCGCTCCTCCCCTCTCTGAAACGAATACCGCGTCACGTGTTCCGCCTTGCCTGTCAACACGTGCCTATCTCCGTCCCTGTTCCTGACCTTGCCGCCCCTCACTCCGTCTCATCTATACTGCGTTTGGGCTCGACGGCAGACTTGAGGGTTGAAGCTCGCTGAGGGGCAGCGAACGCGATCTGTGTTTCTGGGGCGACGGGGGAGAGGGCAATGCTTTTGCTGGGCAAGGGCAAGCATGAGCAGCCCAATCGTCGGCAAGAGCAGACCTGAAATCAGAGCTTCTCGCGAAGGGCGCCTGGAAGGATTGCCGTTGACCGATCAAGCGCGCCCGCCGAGCGTACGGGGATCTGGCCCTCGAAGCAACGCTGCCCCTCCAGCGACCTTCAACTTGAGGGTCCCCTCTTGCAGAGCCGCCAGCAGGCGGCATCCGATGCAACAGCATCGGCACAGCCAAGATCCACAGGCACAGAGTGCAGCACAGCGTAGCACGCTTGCTGTCGCGTTCTCGCTGGCAGGCGCCCGAGTTTCGGTTTCGCTCCCGCCAGGAGCCACGTTCGCAGCAGACAGGGCTGTTTCTGGCGAGGGGGCCGTGGCCACGCTCCGCCCGCAGCGAAGAGAAGTCCACTCGCACACTCCGTCCGCTGACCCAGGTTCGGGAGCTGCCTCATGGCCCTCCCAGGTCCGTGGCATCGCCATGGCTGGCCGTGTCAGCGCTGACCCAGGTCACCCCGTCCCCGATGCCTCCGCAGAAGCCGAAGACCCGGTCCGGACGATTTGTTTCGGATGCAATTCCTGGGAGGTCAAATTCTGATTTTGCCCTGGTCCGAAATCCGGCTTAATCCGGCTTCATCCCGCTTCAATCCCGTTAAATCCCGCTTAATCCGGCTTAATCCAGCTTACACCTTAGGCGATGCTTAAGAAAACTTAAGTTTTCGGCCATAGTCTCGATTATTCTTAACGTCTCAATGTAAATCTTAAGATTTTAATGGAAATGTTGGGTTTTTTATTCAAGTTCTGAGACTATGAATTTCTTAACCCATGATTTCTTAAGCATTTCGCAGGGTGTAGTCCCGCTTAATCCGAGGCCCACTCCGGCGTAACAGCTCCCAAATGGGGCTCAATCCTCCGTAATCTTTCCGACAAAAACCTCCCAGCAGTTGCCTCCTAAAGTTGTGGGTTCAGGAGGAGGGCGGGGCTGACACGGGGTCGGGCAGACCTACAGCAGGCACATGATTGGAGAAACCGGCCTGCGAGCAGGTGCCTGACGGAGGTTTCGTATCCCCCGATTGTTTGGGGGACCGGCTGAAGCTCGGGGGTGCCGTGGGACCGTCAAAGATCGAAGACAAATGCGAGCCAGATTGTCCCCAAACAGTGCTTTCACTTGGGGCTTCTTACTGCTGGTTCTACGGAATTGGTCGGGTGTCTCTAGCATTTGCCACGATCCGGCTTGCTGCCGCCTCGTTGCCTTCCGTTGCCGCCTGTGAGGGTGTCCAGTGTCCAGAGGATTCGTCACCTTCTGCCCAGTTTCGGCCCGTGGCCGCGTGACCGCCTGTGGGGGTGTCCCGAGAGTTCGCTCAGTTTCGGCCCGCTGCCGCCCGTTTCCGCTTGTTGGGGTGGCCCGAAGGTGCGGCTTTGCTCTTCGAGCAACGACCACAGAGACGCTTGTACATCACATAGCTTCTACGTCCACCGTGCCATCACTTACACAGCAATCTGTTTTATCGTGTATATGCGTGTCTTCTTTAGGGTGAGGGTACAACGTGCCCGAGCGCTCCGCAACGTTGCCCAAGCGCCCTGGGGCGCTCTGAGATTGGTTGCGGCGCCCGAAGGGTACGCACGTCTTCCAGACCCCTGCCAGTTTTCAGAGATTCCCGGTCCATCCTCACCCGATGCTATCTCATCCCCGTCGCTCCAGGCGGCCACCGTCTTTTCGAAATCGGGGCGGAGGTTGCCCGCCCTTTTTTTCCTACATCGAAGGGGCGGTGTTTCTGCGGCCGTGGACTGTCCGCAGAAGCGGTCGAGGCGGGAAACCGTTACACGATGAGGGGGGGAACGGCGGCGAGCGAGGGGGGAAGTGAGAAGAAGAAGGCCTTCTCAGAAGGCGGCTGGACTTCTCAGAAGCCCTCGCGCCTTCTGAGAGGTCTTCTGTGTCTTCGGGGGAGGCTTCGACAACTTCTCAGAAGGCTGGGGGACTTCCGAGCCTTCTGAGAAGGCATGCCCCTCCTCACATCCCCGAGAGGAAAGGCAGCACCAGCATCAGCCGGCTGTGCGAGCTATGCCCCGTGTGCGCACCCAGCCAGCCTCTGCGCCCACGCCCGCTTGGGTGTAGCTGCTCTCACAGTCGCAGGGCTGGAGGGCTTGTGGCCTCGTCCTGGGCAGCCCACAGTTCCACCTACTGCCCAGGGGGAAGGGGATCCGGAGAATGAGGAGGACGAGGATGCGGGGGAGGCGGGGGCAAAAGAAGACGAGGCGGGCGAGGAAGATGAGGCGGGCGGGGGAGCGGACGGGCCGACTGGGAGGGGCTTCGGGGAGGGCAGGGGAGGGGGAGCGCGAGCCAGAGCGGGAAAGGGGGGAGACGGTCTGTCAGAGTTTGGGCTCGCTCTCGGAGCTCTCGGCATCGTCCCTGGGTTGTTGCGTCAGCCTCGCGCCCGGACTGTGCGAGAGTTGCCCCGTCAGAGAGATCGCTCGTCTGCGGCCAGCGACGCGAGTAGATTGCTGTTGCTCGCTTCTTCTTTTCTCTGTTACGTGTATCTTGTTTGGTTCCTTTCTCTCTCTCTCTCTCTATCTCTGCAGGTGCGTGCCCCCCCCAGAAACTATTTGAGTCGGGGGTCGGAGATCCCTCCGTGCCCCAGGGTGCGCACACGTCGGCACGGGGAGGTGCGATCGGGCACGCTTGCCGGCTTGAGTATGTGTATCCCTTGTAGATCCCGGCTTTGAGAGATCTCTGGGCAAGAGGAGGGAATGGCCCGACGCTCGAGGCTCTCTCCTGAGAGTTCAGTGTTGCTGTGCTCACTTTGCTTTGCCGTCGATTTCCTTGCCGCCAGGCCAGCTTCATAAGTCCCATCTGCTTGCACTTCGGTCCCCTACACGTCTCCTCGTCCAGCGAAGCCCTGTGGCTGGAAGGAGTGAGGAACAGCAGCGCTAATCCTCCACATTCTTGGCTCAAGGGTCGCCTGCTCGGTATAATTTGCTGACCTCGAGGGTGCTGAGCGGGGCAGTCCAAACCACAGGGGTAGTGAGACTCGGCTTCGTCCTATTGCCAGGGAGCTGGACAAATAAGCACCACGTGGCGGGCCTTGGCGATAGCTGGGTTCACACGTGGCCGCAAGTCTTTCGGGCGCTCGGCCCTTGTTTGGGCGGGCACCCCGGCCCTTTGCATGTGCGCCCAGCGCGTGGATTCCCGCGTGCTCCGCGCGCAGATCTGGCGTGCGTGCTTCCAGCCTCTCGGTTCGGGCCGGACGACGAAGGGCAAAGGGGGGTTATGCCATCGGACGCCAGGCGCCGTTCCTCTGTACGTTGGCGCCTCTCAGCGCTGGGCGGCGCCGGGGAAGCCAGCTCGTGAGCTGACTCGCTTGCCCACCCTTCCCGCCCCGTCGGTGCCCTCCCACTGCCTCCTCCCCTCACCACCGGTCGTCCCACCCCTTCCCCCCGAGGAGGGCTTCCTTAGCTCAGCTGGCTAGAGCGTGAGGCTGTTAGCCTCAAGGTCGGGGGTTCGAGCCCTTCCCCCCGAGGAAGGGGTGGGGAAAGCCTCTGTGGCTTCGGCCGCCTCGAGCAGAGTCGGCATGCATGCTGCCGTGGCCACCGCCATCCTCTGCTGCCTCGCGGCCACCTTCTCCACCGCCGGGTATGCGCCCGTGGCCCCGTTCCTCGTGCCCAGGACCCGCCGCCGTGAATGGGAGGGGCCTCGAGGGGGGGAGGGGGCCTCGAGGGGGAGGGGGAGGGGCCTCGAGGGGGAGGGGCCTCGAGGGGGGAGGGGCCTCGAGGGGGAGGGGCCTCGAGGGGGGAGGGGCCTCGAGGGGGGAGGGGAGGGGCCCCGAGGGGGAGGGGGAGGGGCCTCGAGGGGTCGTCTGCGGCGGCCTCCCGGGGGAGGAAAGGAGCGCCCCCTGGGCGCCCCGGGGCGCGCTGGCTTCGGGGCCCCCACCCTTCCACGGCAGGCAAGGGTCAGGAGGGAAAGAAGCACACAGACACAATCAGTCGTCGATTCCCCCGAAACTTTGAGAAGATATGGGAAGTGGGGGGAAAACAAAACCCCAGAGAATATTGCAAGGTATGGGGAATCTTTTTTATTTGTGTGTATTTCTTGAGGTGTCCTGGGGCCCCTTCAAGGGGAAGGATCCCAGGGGGGTGGGCCAGGGCAGAGCGGGCGGTGGGCGCCAGCTCTCGCCTGCGCCGCCTCCTCGGCCCAGGGAGGGGGGCGGGGTCGAGGGGAGAGCGGGCCGACCCACCGCCCTCTCCGGGGGAGCGCACCCTTTTTCGGCTCGGCATCGCTCGGACGTGTGCATGTTTCCCTCGGCGAGGACCATCGAAGAGCACCCTTGATCATTTGGCGCAAAAACCACGCACGAAACCGAACACAACACAGGGAATGAACGTCCGAGCGATGGCGAGTTGGAACTCTCCGCAGGACAGAGGACGTCAAGATACTCCTCACCGCCCAGGGGGTCGGGATGTTCCTGGCCCTGGTTCCGGCAGGGGTGGCAGTCGACAGATTAGGCAGCATACCCGTGCTGAAGTCGGGGGTTTCGATATTGTTCCTTGCGTGTCTTGTGTCAGCGCTGAGCGTCGACTTCTTCATCCAGCTGGTTGGCCGGATCCTGAGTGGTGCAGCTGCTTCTGTGATGTTCAATTCGGCAATGGCGATGGTGATGGACTTCTTCGTGGAGCCGGAACGAGGGGCGAACCTTGGCATGGTGCTAGGCATAGGCACACTGGGCAATGTCGCTGGACCTCCTATTACTACAGGCCTCTTCGCATTCTGCAAGGCACATGGTACGCCGGAGCCGCAAGCGCTCCCGATGCTCATTCCTGCAGTTATCGTCACTGTCGCTCTTCTGACTTTGCAGCGCATACCACAGAGAGCCTCAGCGCTGGTCTCTGCGAAGACTCCTTTGGTCGAGGGGGGGATCGAAGATGAGAAAAATCAATCTGCAGAAGCCAGTATCAAGCAGGGCACAGTGGCGTGCGCCACATCATTTTTCGGCCTCTACGGTGTTGGCGACTGTCGGGTCTGGGTGATTGCCGCGGTGTTGTCACTTTTATTTGGAACCATGGCTGCATTAATGGGCGCAAGTTCTTTGGACATGAAGGCTCGCGGCTACCATGCCGCTGTAGTGGGGTTGACGGCGGTACCTGCTGGCGCTGCGCAAATGGTATTAGCCCGAGTGGGTGGCCGCTTTTGCGAGTCCCGTAGGAGTAGGATGATCGTGATGGTGATCGGTTCGTTAGGCTTGGCGGTCGGGCTTCTTCTGGTTGTGCTCGGTTCACGCTTCGCGCCGCTCGCTGCGAAGTATGTCTCAGCCATGCTCCTAGCCTCAAGTGCCATGGCCTTCGTGGATGCGGCCTCCATCTCTGAGATGGGGCACCTGGCAACAGAGTGGAACATCGGATACGGCCAGTCGGTGATGGCCTCCGAGCTCGCGGTCACTCTCGGCCAGTCCTTGGGACCTTACGTCGGGATTCTAATTCTGGAGGCAGCCAGCTTTGACGCCCTCTGCTTATCGGCGGCTGGCGCCGCTGTTTTTGTTGGCCTTGCCGGCATCGGCATAATGCCATCATGACTACGCGCGACGCGTGCGAAGCGCAAGCTTGCTTGTGAACATCGTGCACAGAGGCCCTCCCGACGAAAGAAGTAAGCTAGCACGCCGTGCAATCAGTGCATTATTGCGCTGATCTCTTCCTGCTTCTGTTTGGTGTAGGGGGGGGCGCACCGGGGGGGGGCGCACCATTTTGGAATATTGATCCTCATGCGCATGTTGGTGCCATCATCGGTCGGCAGCTGGCTACAAGGGGCTGCGCCAGCTGGGCTGAAAGGAGGACCGCGTCGGGCTCGGAAAGGGGGTCGCTGTTCCTTGGGGCATTCCATTCTTGTTCCTGCCCTGCGCTTTGGGGGCCTAAAGGAGGCTTCGTTCCTTCGTCAGCGTGCCTTGCGGTGGCACCTCGACTGCAATCGGACGCCGCCCCCCGTTTAGATCCGCGGTCGGCACCGCGGGCGAGAGGATGAGTGCTTTCCGTGCTTCACCCAAGAAGATCCAAGATGGCCCCAAGACGTGCCCAAGAAGATCCAAGATGGCCCTCACGACGATTAAGATTGCCAAAGTAAGCAGCCAAGACGGTCCCACGACGACGCCTCCAAGACTGCCCCAACGCGCCCCCAAGAGGCCCACGATCCCCAAGAGAGTCCAGCATGGCCCCAGGATGCCTCCAAGACGGTCCATGGCGAGGTCGCGAGGGCTCCTGATTGGGGCAAACATAATAGGAGTGATTGCCGGAATCTCCGCCCAAGATGTTATATCATGGTGCCGCGAGCTATGGTGGACGACGGAAGCGGGCTTTATTGTCTCGGGCATGATCTTGGTCGCCATGGCATGGGCTGATGGCATCACCACGTCTGGAGACGTAAGAAGGCGTGCTGAGGTACGCGCATCCTTTTGACCGGGAGATTGCGTTAGTGGCGCGTCCGTGATGTGAAACCGGCGCGTCCTTTGATACCTGAGGGAACCAGGGCTGAACCTAAACGGTGTTTTTCGTTTTCGTGCTGTTTTCGTTTTCCCTCGTTTTGTCTTCAATCCGCCTTTGTCGCAAAACGAAATCGAAACGACAACGGCCCACGAAGTCGCCAAAACACCGTTTAGGTCCAGCCCTGGAGGGAACCGTCGGAAACGAAACCGGGCATCTGTTTGTTGGGGCCTCGTGTCCACGCAACGGGCAGCCCATGGGAAGACAGCGCTTAAGCGTTCGCAGCCATCAAAAAAGCTTACTGGAGGACTGCGACTTGTCGACCCAGCTCATCCCGATAAAGTCGACTAGGCGTAAGAGTGACCTTTCGCCAGACTGACCTTTGGTGCGGGCACAGATGGGCCCCCAGATGGCTGAAAGAGAAGCGGTAGCAGCGGCTTAGGCGCTTGCTTTTGGCCCCCCCGCGGTCCCAAAAAGCCGCGCACCAAAGGTCACTCTTACCCAGGGTCACTCTTGCGTGTAGCCGATAAAGGATTGGCGAAGGAACTTGGATTCGATGGCCCATAGAATATTCAGAGCAAAGGTTTCTTCTTGGATGCCTGATCAAATGGCTTGCAGCACGCATCGACAAGGCACAGGGATATCTGATGTCAATGGTGGTAGTCCTTCGTTTTGTAGGCTATGTTACGGGGGGTGCAGGTGACGCGAAGACGACGTGTAGGAATGTCTGTAGTTTTTGGCAGGCCATGGTCGCACATGTTCTTGACAGCAGTCGTATCTTGGGTGAGCCACGCCGAAAGATACCCAGAACGTATTCCGCACCATGCGGGAAGAGAGAGAGAGAGAGAGAAAGAGAAATGGTGACTGGTGACAGACAGTGCGAGCGATCGCCAGAAATGACGGGCCAAGATGGACAAGATTGAGCCTCCGAGCGGTTATCGTGAGCGCCTGGGGCAACAGATGAACAAAGAACATGTTTGAACCTCGCGCACAGGCTTTACCACCAGATGTGCGGACAGTAAGATTTATAACATTAGGTGAAAGGTATGGACCAACCCGTTGACATCAGCGTTTAGTTATGCAGCGGGGTGTTCACTCAATATTTGCCCTTGGCTTTCGCCACTGCTGAAGAGAGTCAGTGCTTTAATTCGGCAGCGGAGTGTTCACTGAATGCTTGGCATAATTCTCGCCAGTGCTAAGGGAACCGTTATTTCAGTCAGGCAGCGGAGCGTTCACTGAATGTTCGCCCTTACCTTTCCGCCAGAGCTTATGATAACCAGTGGTTTACGTAGGCAGCGGAGTATTCCCTGAATGTTTGCCCTTAGCTTTCGTCCAGTCACTTAGGAGAACCAAAGTCAGGCCGGAAGGAAATTCGAAGAGGCGCTCCAAGGCCGCTGCAGAGTATTTGTTCGAGATGTTCGAGTGCATGTCACAGGGCGTTCGGCCTGCAACTACGCTGGAGATTTCGGTCGTGTGGGGACCCGCGTCAAAAGCGCGAAGAGAAGAACGACGGTTCAAGATGCATTCGGCACAGCCCAATGTGGCTCTGTGAGCCGCCCTCATTACCGCTCAGGGGCGCGAAGAAAGTCGCGCAGCGCGTTCGTCCGACCGCGTGGGTGCAGAAATCGGCTGGCCCGTTTCGTGGCCAAGGTCTTGCGCACAATTTTGCAAGGGGGTTGGCACAGGACTTCGCCCAGGATTTTGCCCAGGACGCTACGTAGCACCCCACATTTTGCGGATAAAAGTCGGGGGGCGGAGGCGTGGGCGACGCCAGACGCCACCAAACGTGGGCCCCATACGTTGCCCCACAAACGTTGCCCCCCAAACGTGGCCCCCAACCGTGGCCCCCAAACGTGGCCCCCAAACATGGCCTTCATATGTGGCCCCCACACGTAGCCCCCAAACGTGGCCCCCAACCGTTCGAGCCCCCTCACTCTGATAACGTTGCCATCCGCCTTGATGTATGATATATTTACCATAGCGTTGCCCTATCCGCCAATTCGCTCTTGTATGCACATTTTGATGTCGTGGTGTCTCACGTCCTGATCTCCGCTTGCGGAGCGAGATGCTTCCATGGGCTTCTCGACTGGGCTGGACTTGGCTTGACGTTGACCCAGGACTTCGCCCTGCGCAAGATTTCGCCCAGGATTCCGACGTCTCCTCGACTCCCCCGCCTTCCGCCCCGCAAGCCCTGCAGGAAGTCCAAAGTGCCCTGCAAGAATCACCTCGCGGGCCGGTGCTCCAAGGGCGCGGCCTGCGAGTTCTCCCACGACGCCCAGGACCCACGCGCTGCGGCATAGGATGAGGATCTGGGCGGGTACCTCGAATCGGCGGCGAAATCCGAACACTAATCTCGCCGATCAACGATTTGGGCAACTCGAGGGGCGGCGGGAGTACGGCTCAGGATTGGTCGAGTGCGTTGCAAAGTCCGAACCCTAGCCCGCGTGCTCCGACAGAGGAGGATCCGGGAGAGTTCTTCGAAGTTGGAGCCAGCTGGGGGTCTGATGTGGCACAGCACTGGTTCCGGCCAGCAGGAGGGGGGGCGGGATTCGAGGCGCGGCTCTGGGTTCGAGAAGATGTTGTGCCTTTTTCGGCCACCATCGGACGGGGCTAGGACGAGGATAAATACGTTCCAGAGCGTTCTGGGACGCACTCAGATCGTTCCGGAACGCTCTGAGAAGGTCGCGGCGCCCGAGACATCTGCCAGAGCCGCCGGATCTCAGAGATGCCCGATTTATCTTCACCCGCTCTTATCCTCGTCTTAGCTTCGTCTTCCCCCAGGGCCTGTTCTCAGGGCCGGGATCGTCAGACACGGATCTGGGCTGCAAAGCTACACTGGATGGAGCCCCGGAGGGTTCAGGGCATGGATGTTGATGCGATTTGGCCGCATCCCCCCCTCCTGGCCGATTTTTTCTCGGTGCCCTTCCAGCTCAGACCCCCGGCCGCCTCCACCCTCGAAGGAGACAAAAGAACGGCACGCGCACAATACGCCGTTCTTTATTGCCTGGATATTCAGGGCGTGACCAGGGTTGGTGCCTGGGGGAGGGGCTCGGTCACGTCCCGATTCTCGCTGGTGCCGTCTGGGAGTGCCTAGGAGCAATGGCCCATTGCCAGACGGCGCTGGCGCGAATCGTGACATGGCCAGATGGGGAGGAGGGGGGGACGGGGACGGTCACGGGCGCTATCGCGAATGATGCCAAAAAACGTGTTCATCAACGGCATGCACATTAATTTTCGTCGCATCGCGCGAGTCGTTTTGGATTGGCGCTGGGCCCTCCTGGCGGCGCTGGAGGCGCGCAGAGAAATCCGATGCAGTCCGCGCGGAGCTCCCAGAGTTGATGGTTATGCAGTTTGTCCTTTTTCTATATCTGCAAGCTTGTGTTGGCTGAGGGCCATCTACAGATCAGGGCCTTCTCCAGATCAATGTGCACTGGTCTCCTGCAGACCTCGACGTTGAGCCTGGCGTTTTTAGACAGGGGGGTATCGTAGGAGGTGTGGCGCGGGATGGTGGCGGTTGCTTCGGGGTTTCTGTAGCGCAGTCGCGCAGGGGCATCTTGTGCGGGCCAGCTGCCAGAAGCGGAGAGGTCCAAGAATGTGGATTTGCCGTCAGATGGTCAGACTCAACATCCGGTCTGCCACACACAGTTGGCCCAAGCTGTGCGCTCAAATGGCTCATGAAGAGGGTTCCAGCATGGCAGCATGACAGGTCGGAGTAGCGTGTTAATGGCATGGAAGAAGTGGTTGGTGCAGACATTGGAGTAGGAAGAGCGGCAAGTTGTAGGACAGCGATTGGCAGCAATCGACAGGAGGAGTCTAACCCCGATGCAAGCAGAGGGGGCTTCTGGCTCCTGGACCACCAGAGGCCGCTTAGATGCCCCCTTTGGGTCTGTGAGTGAGTCTCTTTCGAGCGTCTTGATGCGGAGGAGGAGGAGGAGGAGAAGGAGGAGGAGGAGGAGGAGAAGGAGGGTGGAGGAGGATGATGAGGAGGAGGAGGCCTCCTGGGAGCCTCTTGAGGTGCTCCCAGGGACCCTTCGAGTTCCTCCTCGTGGGCCCTTCCATGGGGGCCTCGTGGGCCCTTTCACTTGGGCCGATGTCCTGGAGGCCTCGAGGGGGGGGGGGCAGGTCTACAGGGGTCTTCTTCTGGCCGTCGTGGACGTTCGCAAGACCGTGGGGGAAGCGAGAAGGAGAAGGCCTTCTCAGAAGGCTCGGAAGTCCCCCGGCCTTCTGAGAAGCGTTCCAAGCCTTCCCCAAAGACACTGAACATTTCTCAGAAGGCGCGATGGCCTCTGAGAAGTCCCGCCGCCTCCTTTGAAGGCCTTCTCCTTCTCACTTCCCCCCCTCGCTCGCCACCGAAAGACAACTTCATGACGCCACCCTGGGCACTCTTGGGTTCAGTTGGAAGCGAGGAGTCCCAAACAATGCGTCCATGGAGGGGGGTCAAAGTTGGGCAGTACTGGGCATTCCTGGGTCAAAGTGGGCTCGGGGAGTCCCAACAACACGTCCAGCCCCCGAGCAATCCTGGGTCGAGTTGGAAGCGGGGAGTCCCAAACAACGCGTCCAGGAAGGGGCCTCGGGAGGGGCCAGGAGCCAAGCCCCAGCAGCGCCAAGACACGCCAGGTTGCAGGTGTCGAAGGCGCTGAGGTCCAGGAAGATCGCCTGCAAGCTTCAGTATCCCAGACCCCGTCGTGTGGCGAAGAAAGCACGACGGGCGTTGTTGTTGCCGTTTCGGCCTTTGGGGGGCCCCGCCGGTCCTTGGAACCGTCAGCAAACGAAACAGCATGACAAAACGGGACCGGGGTAATGGGTCGGGACCTCGGGGGGTTGACGTCATGAAGGAATCATGACGTCGGGGGTCTGGGGTTGAGGACCCTGGAGGGCCTGAGGACACTCCACCCAGTGCCTACCGCAAGGTGCACAGCTCTCAGGTGCGAGCAGCCCACCCCTTGGAGAGTTTGATGTTTCTGGTATGGCTCAAGTTGATTTGGCTAAAGCAATTTTGCGGAGATCTCGAACGTCGGGGCTGACTACGCCAATTCGAAACCTGTGCCTTGGGGGTAGCGACAACTAAGCAGCGATGGCCATGGCGGTTTCCGCATCTGCTATCAGCCACTTGATCTCCTTCGAGGCCGCCCACATCACAAGCCACCAGCAGGTCTCCAACGGCGGAGATGACCTCAAGCTGGTGAAGGAGCTCGGCATCTCCGCCATTTGCATTGTAGGTGGTGCTTGCCTCTGCATGCTAAAGAAGTTCCCTCAGCTGATGACGCCAGGCCTCCTGCTTATCTTCTTCGGCGCCCAGACTGGAATGAACATGTACATGAAGGCCGTCTTTTCGACCGCCACCGTCCTCGATCCAGCGCCAGCGGAGTACTGTGCAGAGCTGAGTGCGAGTGACTCGTGTGCTTGGATGGGCTTCCAGGCCTCGTTCTTCGTCACCGGGATACAGCAGTTTGGTGGGTTCGTCATCTTCTGGTTGCTCTTCCTCCCCGCGAAGGCGCTCGGCTTCAACAAATTGGGAGACAAAGAGATCGAGATCAAGAAGCTGACCTCTCAGAATGAGGTCATCGCTGTTCTGTGCTTCGCGGCAAGCTTCACGATGAACATCGCCCTGAACAACATGTCCATGTCGCTCATCCCCCTGACGCTAAATCTGATCATCCGCTCGTGTCTCCCCCTCTCAACTTTCCTCGCGCAGTGGCTCCTCACGAAGTACACGACAGGAGAGGGGAAGCCCTGCAAGGCCATTGAGATCGGGTTGATGATGCTAGGCGCTGCGATGATGTGCGTGTGCGTCTGGGCCAAGATTGCTGCCGAGGCCGAGGGGGAGTCCCACAAGAAGGGAGCAACCGGCGAGTCTGCGAAGACTGTGGTAGGCGTGATGTACTGCGTTGTGTCTCTATTTTCGGGGAGCGTGAACCTGGCACTCGCTGGGATCCTGAAGACGTCTGTGAAACTGGACGGGTTCAACACCGTGGTCTATAACTCCATCCCCGCCGCGATCATCCTCCTCCCCTTCGTGTTCTTGTTGCAGCACCCTGTAAAGCACTGGGACGGGGTCGGCTACACGAACGATGCCTGGGTCGTGGGCCAGGTCTGGGAGCACAGCAAGTCCACCTTCGTGTTCGGCGCCAGCTCCGCTCTGGCCTCCCTGGTGTACAACATCTTGCAGTTCAGCATCGTGCAGCACCTGTCGGCAACCCACGTCGCGTTCGCGGGCAACTTCAACAAGGCCGCCACCGTTCCGCTCGCCCTGCTGGTCGGCATCGACCACCTGCCACAGGCGCCGTACGGCGCCATAATGGTCGTCTCGGCCATCATCAACATCATCGCCTTCGCCGCCTACAACGTGGTCTCTGGCGGTGCTGGCGGTCACGGCGGCGGCGCTAGCAAGGAGAAGGAGCCCATCAGCCCCGCCAAGACGAGCGACGGCGAGGACGCCAACGAGAACTCCGCTCTCGCTCGCAGCGGGGCCTGACGCGCGTGTGCTCATCTGACGGCGGGGGCGGCTGCTGCTGACCTGCCACAGTATTCCTGAGCATCCCGTCCCGGGCGCGCGGCCCCTCGATTTTCCTAATTTTCTTAATTGGGCTGCACTTCATGGCTCTATAGGCTGGCCGCGTGCAGTTGTGAAATTCTCAACTACGGCTGTGCGCCGGAGTGCCGCATCCAACTGCGGCCAGGTCGACGCATCGGCAGTTCTCTTGGAGACCCTGGGCGTGCAAGCCGAGCGTTGTCCAAGCTAGTTTGGAGTGCTCCTTGCCCTGCAACCTGCTCTCCTCACCCTCCAGGCCGACGCAGAGGCAGCCCTTCTGGGGAGTCCCTGGTCGTGTAAGCCTGCGTCGTGCGACATGTTCTTACCTCCTCGCTCGTCTTGCTCATCCCCCTCCGTTCTCCCCCGCGTCCTCCCACTGGCAGGTGCAGTGCTACGCTGCACTTGCTTGTCCGATATTTTGTTGGTGTCCATGGAGACCTGGAATCCAGACGTGGAAGGTTCTGGATGTCGCAGCTTACAGCCTACCCTGTCGCGGGATCGGCGTATTTTCCTGGCATTTTTTTGGGGTATCCCCGGCACTGCGAGCGAGAGTTCTCTGTTGAGGTGTGGGCCTCGCAGATTCAGGCTCGTCCCCCAGTGTGAGAGTTGATATGGTCGCGTTTCAGTTGCCTTTGTAGCTAGGTTGCGTCTGTGTCGTTGGCATGGCCCGCCTCGCTCCGCCAAGCCGGGCTTGTCGCTCACGAAAGAAGGGGTGAGGCGGACTCCCACAGCGTCGGCACACGAAAAAGTACACACCCACCCCAGAGGGCGGATGTGGATGACGCTGGGCGCCGACCCATTTTCTGACCTGCGTGGCACAACATAGACAATTGATTCTACGTAGGTGCGGGCTGAAATGTCGGTCGACCTGTGTCAAAACGGAAGGCGGACCTCGTTTTTTGGGGGGAGCGTCCGTCGTTGGGGCCAGGTATGGGGCTAAAGAGGTGACCCAAATTTCTCGCTCTCGCCTTTGCGAGAGACGCCGATGTCAAGAGTCCATGTCCCCACGCACAGGTTCAAGAGGGCCCTTGACATCAGGGGCCTCCTGGGGGCCTCTTGGGGCAGAGTGCTCGGATGTTCGGTTCGTGCTCCTTCTCTTGGGCCCCCTATGGGGCCGTCCTGGCCTCTGCGGCCGTGTTGGCGCCTCTTGGGCGAGCCTGTTGGGCAGTCCTGGGGCGGTCTTGGCTCTAAGGCCGTCTGGGAGCGTCGGGACGCCGAAAGCCAACATCCTTCCACAACGTGAGGCCAGTCGATGACTTTGCCCTCTTGGGGCCCTCATTGGGAGGCCTCTTGGAGGTGTCTCTGGGCATGTGGGAGGCCTCGTGGGCCATCCTGGGGGGCATCTTGCTCGTCTTGGGGGTGGTCTTTCAGCGACTCGGGGACTCTTCGGACCGTCTGGGGTCGCCTCTCTCCACGCGCTCTCGGCCGGCCTGCCGCGGGCCTTCTCGGGCCACGCGGGAAGCCCAAGGGGGGCACGCGGGAAGCCCTCAGGGGGGCACGCGGGCAGCCCCGGGGGGGGGCACGCGGGAAGCCCCGGGAGACTTGAGCACTCGGGGTCCGGGCCCCTGAAAGACCTCCCAGGGGTGAGGCGATTTCTCTCCCCCAATCCCCGACTTCCGCCAGAAAAGTTTGGTCGCTCAGAAAAGGGGAGGAATCTTGGGATACATCCCGAGGGGGCTATTCGGACGCACCCCTGTCGAGGATGGACGCCCCCCCCTCGTATATCCCAGGGTTGGGCCCCAAATTGTTGATCCTCTCGAAAGCCTCACGGAGCCTGGGATAGGGGTCGACGCATCCCCTGTTAAGGGTCGAGGCCTAGAAGCTCAGGCAGCGGATTGGAGGACACGCCCACCCCGCGCCCAGAAGCACGGTGGCGGACATCGGGGTGCAGCTTGCATTCGTCGGGGCGACCCGCGCCAGGTCCGATTCAACACCAGGACATGCCTCCCGTGCATGCCCCGCAGACAGAGACGAAGCTCCAATGGCGCTGCCTGCGGGGGAAGGCTATTGCCTGGCGTGTTTTGACGCGTTTTTCAATAAGGGAAAACATACAGACACAAATAGAATCGCCGAGTCCCAGGAAGTTCTGGATAGGAAGTGAGTGGGAATGCGCAAAATATGTAAACATGGGAACCCTGGGATGTGTATGCATGTATCTGTGTGTTCCTGGGCGCCTTCAGTTTTGGAGGAAGCATTGCAAAAGTTTCCAGGGGGGGTACAGCTCCAGGGGGGTGCGGCCTCAAGGGGGCATGGCTTTCGCGGTTTGTTCGTCGGGGTGTGCCTGCGCATTCCTTAGCATCGCTCGGAAGTTTGCATTGTCTTCTCGGCGAGGACCATCGAGGCGCATAATTGATCATTCTGCGGAGCAAATGCACGCACGAAATCGAACATCGCACGGGGAATGGACGTCCGAACGATGGCGAGATTCTCGGCCCAGATTTGCTGTATGTCGGCCATGCGAGCGCGTCGTCGGACCTTTCGTGCAGCGGGGCCCGAAAACTGCAATACCCCGCCTGAGGGTGAGAAATCACCGCCCCAGTGGCTATACGATACGCTAAAACTGGGCGCTTGACTGCACAATCAAATCGGGCGCCTTCGACTGCAGGAGTCTTTTCTTTTGCAAAGTCAATCGTTAACCATTACGGCTGAGTCCTGCTCTTTCGGGTCAGTTGGTCACCACGGCATTTTGGCAGGCTTGCTTATGTCAGCGGATCAGGGGATCTTGCGACGATTCAGGACATGCAGCCCAGGCCCCTGATGCTGAAGTCGATGAAGCAGTGCATCTTCTTCGCGAAGGCTTCCATAATCCGCTGAGTTTCGCTTCGCTTAGGTATCAATATGTGGTTGGTCCCGTGCTCTTGAAACCTAGGTGAGGAGAGTCCGCACGTGCTTGACGACACCATTTCTAAAATGCCCTCATATTGTCGCCGGGTGCGCAGGAACGAGGGGAAGTTCGATGGGTCTTGGCATCGTCGTCATTGGGCCATGCTTGCGCCATCGGGCCGCCAGACATCAGATATCAAGGACGCGTTCGCAGTTGTGTTTCTTTTCTTTCCACGTGAGAGTCGTGTTTTCTATGGTTGGAGGTTCAATGGAGGGAGCATCCGCGAGAGAAGGAGAGTGAGACAGAGAAAAATGGGTGGTGATAGTGGAAGAGTGCAGCGCCCAAAATTTGAATAGCAAGTGGCATTAGACCTATCCCGACCACGCGCCCTTTGGGAGAGCCTCCTGGGTGCCTCCTGGAGGCCTCTTTGGTGCTTACTGGAGGTTTCGTGGGGGCGTCTTGCGAGCCTCTTGGAGGACGCTTGGGTCCTCTTTTGGCCTCTAGCGGGCCTCTCGGGGTCTTTTGGGGGCCTCTCGGAGGCCGTGTGGCCGTCTCGGTGGCCATCTGAGGAAAACTGGCCAGACTTCTTCAATTCGTGTTTCCTACTTGGGCAATCCTGGGGCCCTCTTGAACCATCTTGGGCACCTTTTGAGGGGGGGTCTCTGTGCGTCTCTCTTTGGGCTCTCTTGGGGGCCTCTTGGGCCGTCTGGGACGCTCTGGAGGCCGAAAAGCTTGGCATACGAACATCATAAGAAGCCAAAGGTTGTTCAATGATTTCGGCCTCTTGGGCCCGCCCCAATGGCTTCCAAAACGATCCCAGAGGCCCCCAAGAGAGCCCCAGGACAGCCCTTGGGGTTACGGAGAGTTCCTGGGCCCTCTTTAGCGTTGTTTGGACGACGATTTGGGAATGGTGGAGACGGTTTGGGTGGGTTAAGCTTCCCAGGGGCCCACGAGGGAATCGTCAGGTGCATTGGGAGTTCTGGCAACTTGGAGATATGGGCAATTGGCCATCAGTCTTTTGATCACCCGAACCCTCACATACGTTGGGTCCTTAGGTGTACTCCAACACTTGCTGAATGCACTGTGGGACGATGGTAACGCATTGGCTCGCTCGAGACAAGACCTCGCTTTTTGCGAATCTTTGCCTTCGGCGGATGCTGTCGGAAGGCCGGTGGAGAAGCAGGCGGAAGCAACAATGCGGCGGGCTCGCCAGCTGAAAATCGGCGGACGAGGGCGGACGTGGAAGTGAATCATCATCTGTTTCGGGCTCAGGGTCTCCGGGTTTTGACAGGTGGTTGCGGCCGATCCCGCCGCATCGCAAGTGCAGTAGTTCTTTGTGGCGACGATTCGAGCACCGCTGGGACGACCGCCACATCAGACACCTGTCTCTATTTCTGCCAGGGGCTCTCGTTGGGGCGATTGTATTCGGACCGTCTTAGGGCTGTCTTAGGTTCTTGTGGGGCCCTCTTGGAATCCTCTTCGGTCATCTTGGGGCTCGTTTCGCAACCGTCTGGGGGTAGAGGGAGGCGCGTGTGTATGTGTTACGGTGGATCTGTCTTGTGGCCCTGTTGATTCATATTGGGGCCGTTGTGTGCTGTAATGGGCACCTCTGAGGCTGTCTTGAGGCCCTGTCGGAGCTGTCCTGGACCGTCGGAGGGGCTTCTGGTTTTTGCTTCGGGTGTAGCCGGAGATTGTTTCTCGCAGGGTAGACCTTTATACACGGATTTAGCTTATCTGAACTAACTGACTTGTCGCACCAGTTAGCCAGCTGTTTTATTTTCGGCGGCCGTGGGCGCAAACTATGGTGCAACTCACTTTGACCGTCTTGAAGCTGTCCTCTCCACTGCTCGTGCAAACATCCCACCCTCCCACCCGCAACGTGGTCGCAAGAGCTCTTACGACAAGACCGTGACGGTAGGTACCAGATGGCACCTTGCCACGACACCGACGACGACAGCGACAACGACAACGACGACGACGGCGCCGCCGACACCGACGACGACGACACCGACGACGTCTCCAACGACTTCGACGACGACAGCGGCCACGACGACGACGACGACGACACCGACGACGACGCCGACGCCGACGACGACGACGATGACAACGACGACGACGACGCCGACGACGACGACGACGACGACGACGACGAAGACAACGACGACGACGACGACAACGACGTCGCCAACGAAGACGACGACGAGGGAGGCGGAAGGACAACGACGGCGAAAACGACGACAACGACGACAACGACGAGGGAGGAGGGAGGACGGCGACGACGCGAACGACGAAGAAGGAGGAAGGACGGCGACGCCGTCGACGACAACGACGAGGTAGGAAGGACGACGCCGACGACGCAAGAGCGCGCGCGCACGCTTTTGTTGAAAATCCGTGTTGCGAAACCTTGGGTTTTTGTACGCTTTTTGGTCACACGGTTTTGACATCCTTCCGAAACCGATGGGTTTTGAAGGATTTCGGCATACGCGCGCGACGACGCGCGCGTCTGTACTTCGTCTCAGTTTTTTGCAGAGGATTCTCGCGACGGCACACGTGCAGTGGCGTTCGACAGATTTCGACATGCGCGCGCGACGCCCGTTTAATAGCATGTTGTGAAAATCTTGAAAAAACGGTGGTTTTCTTAAGATTTCGCAAGAGCTTGCGCGGAAGCTTTTTTAGCAAATCAGTGTTGCGAAACCATGTGGTTTTGTATGCTTTTTTGGAAACTCGATAGCAAAATTACTGCGGCACCGAAGGTTTTTGAAGGATTTCGGCATGCGCGCGACGACGCGCGCGTGTGCACTTCGTCCAGTTTTTTGCAAAACGATTCGTGAACAAATGTTACGTTAGAACAAAACATATCACCTCATAATGTTTTTTACAAGGGAACCTCAGAGGGGGGGAGCCCGGCTGGCCTGGGACATTGCGATTTCAAACTTAGGATGGACATGTGGACAGAATCATGTATGATTTACATACCCGAAAGGGGTAGCGATGACGCCGCCGGGGAGGGGTAGAGTCTATTCTTTTTAGAAAGGAGAATCAATAGGAGGCCGTTTTAGTTTTGGCGGCCGAGGGCGCAACCTATGGCGCAAGCAATAGGAGGCCGTTTGATCCTCGGCGGCCGAGGGCGCAACCTATGGCGCAACCGATCAGAGGCCGCTTTATTCTCGGCGGCCGTGGGCGCAACCTGTGTGGGGACAAATGGGAGGCATTTTTTCTCGGCGGCCGCGAACGCAACCCATGGGAGAGTGTTTTTGTTGGCGGCTATTCTCGGCGGCCGAGGGCTCAACCTATGGCGCAACTAGTACGGTGCCGGTTTATGTATGGATGGCGAGGTCTAACTTAGTTCTGCGTGTGACGTCGTTCCGCTGGCACCCCAGCAACCTTCGAATGATGCAAGAGTTTCGCAGTCCGCAGCCCCCCAGAGGTGGCGAGGTTGAATCTGAGTCTGCGGCGGGGCGTCACTCCGCTGGACCCCCCACCATCCTTCAGAAGTAGCAGCCGTTTCGCAGTTCGTTGCCCCCCAGGGATGGCGAGGTGTAGTATGAGTGTGCGGCGTGGCGGCATTTCATTCGACCCCCCAGCAGCCCTCGAAAGTGGCGACGGTTTTGCAGGTCGCAGCCCCCCCATGGATGACGAGGTCTAATTTAGGCCCGCGACGAAGACTCACTCCGCTGGACCCCGCAGCAGCCTTCGAAAGTTGCGACAGTTACGGGCTTTGCTACTGTCATCATCGTGCTTGCTGCTGTCGACGTCGACATGATACTGCGCCCGCCCGTCTCACCAACACGCACTGGAGTGCCCGAGCGCTGCCGCGGCCTGTGAGACGTGCTGGGGGATCCCCAGTGGTCAGCGCCAGCGCGGCCGCATCGGTCGCCTCAGGCAAGCTGGTCGGTCTGCGCTTGAGCCTGCGCGCTAGCGCGGCCGCAACGATGCGCCAGCCAGTGCCAAGCAACCATCGCAATCGCAGCCGCATGGTTTTCGCAAACAAGGTTCCAGATGGATGTGTGGTGTGATTGCGCCAGCAGTGGAAGTGACGATTCACCGATGAGCAGTCGTGAACTGCACCACGTAGATTGCGCCACCTGGCTTACACCACATAGCTTGCACCACATAGTTTACACCACGTAGCTTGCATCACGTAGATTGCATCACTTGGATTGTATCAGTGTTTGGGGTCCACGCTGGCTATGTTTGTTGCCGCTTTGGTTTGCAAGGGGGGAGGCCTTATTGGCCGAAGTTTGTCGCTGGTTGGATGGAGGATGGGGGTGTGTACATAAAGAGCAGTGACAAAACCTTCCCCCGAGCAGGTGAACGAGAAGTTTGGGAAGATACTAGGATAGCTCGCGATACCAGTTTCGCCCACAAGGCTTGTCTTATTCACCCTTGGCGCTGGTATATCCGCAGTCAACAACCTGTGTGTGGAACCCGTGTAATACCCTCATATATACTCCTTATCCTTACCTCTCCCGCACCTGGCCGTTTGGGCTCAGGTACTGAGTTGGAGCGATCGTACCTTGATCGCTTGGGAGGGAAAGATATCCATCTATCCCTCCATCTCTCTACCAACGGATCAGGGGTTCTGTACTCTTGTACTTCAACCCCATACACAGGTTATCAGCCCTTTAACGCTCACCTTCACCGACTCGCCCGCGGTGACCTTGCATGCGAGCCCAATGGAGCCGCTTCGGCGCATGCGCCGTAAGGGTTCCATTGGGGTTTCGCGTCCAAGCTCTCCCACGGTGCGACGGCTCGGTGCTGAGTTGGAGAGCATTAGTGCGGACTGTGTTGGTGTCCCCGATACCCCCCCCATCTCCCGAGGACCCGAGGCGCGTCTAGCTGCTGAACTTCGCCGCAGCGCCGCCCGCGGGGGGACAGGAGAAGGAGTAGGAACAGGAAGGAAGGAGTTTCACACGCCGACCTTTGATCCTCCCTCCCCTTCCCCGTCGGGAGCAATCCCAACCGCGTCAGG